TACTTAATTTCATAGTAAATATTGCGTATTAGGAATATGGAACTAAAAAAAATATCTAATTAATATTAATAAAATTAGCACCTCTTTTAATTAAAGGGGTAGCTTCAAGGGGGCGTTGGATGAATAAGAGGGAGGTTGCATTTTGCGATTTATTTAATCCTGAGATTTCGAAATATTCAACTTGAGAATGATGCGAATGATGTGAAATGTATATCTTATTACCAAGATTTGATTTTAAGAAGATAGATATTGCGAATGCAAATACAAGCTCGACACGTTTGCGTGTAAAAATGTATGCGTTAGATGCTTACGCAATGAATAATCGATCAGGCCGAAAAACAATTGTGGATGGGCCCGTTCAAAAGTATTTTGCAATACTGATGGCCAGCAACAACAGTCCCGACGCGACGTGAATTCTTTTGTAGTCTATTGCAAAATTACAATTTCACAATCGAATACCCCCGAGAAATGCATTTTTGCGCCTGTCGTTTCGAAATATTGGAGTCGGTTGTTTGAATAGTGAAGCATCAGTTTTAGAGGGAATATACAGGAAACAAAACGATTTCAAGGCAAAAGGCTACAAAGAACGAATAAAGGATTTTATTTTATTGTCGTTTTTATTATAAACTATCGAAACCGATCTCGATAAAATTTGTTGGTGACGCTGTGTGTGATGTTGAATGTATTCTGATACTAACATAACATTCACTGCATAGTAACAGTTCGTACAAATGCAATTAAAGAACTTGGAGTACTGTTCTGCAGTAAACTTACAATTATCGATCATATCAATATCACAAGAGTGAAGGGGAACTTGGAAAGTAGCCAGAACTCGTGCAAAATAATTACAGGGTGACACAGGAGACACTGTGTTCAGACCATTTAACCATGCAATTGATTAACGTTACCCGGGTGTTAGATGTTGCAGCCAATATATAAATTAAACACTTGTTTCTACTTTCTGCATCTAACTACGATCGCAAAGATATTTGCCTCTTCATCTATCCTTTTAACACGTCTACATCTTCTTCCTTTCCCTCGCTGACTAGTGCCACATTTCGTCAAGATCCGTCCGTGATTACAAGTTTATGTGGTTCTCGAATATAATAATAATATATGAACATGCCAATGTTGTAGACACAAAAAGATTGAAATTTGCTTTAACTCCATATCAACGAATTAAGCAACTGGTTTTCAGGTATTAAAATGTTCCTAAATGTAAAATAGAGTACAGGCATAATATTTATAAGAATAACACGCCGAATTTTAAATAACTATAAAATTCTCAATATATCATAAAATCTTGGAGTTTTGTTTCAAATTTAATAATCATTATTTTCCACAGAATAAAAAATAGAAAGAGGCTTTGGCCTTTTTAATGAGAAATACAAAAAAATATATTATAAAATCTTGGAGTTTTGTTTCAAATTTAATAATCATTATTTTCCACAGAATAAAAAATAGAAAGAGGCTTTGGCCTTTTTAATGAGAAATACAAAAAAATATATTATAAAATCTTGGAGTTTTGTTTCAAATTTAATAATCATTATTTTCCACAGAATAAAAAATAGAAAGAGGCTTTGGCCTTTTTAATGAGAAATACAAAAAAATTTGGTAACATCATCTAAAGTATGTGTCACAGATGCCTTTGGAGACCGTATGTATTGATCATTTCAAAAGGGTTCAAAACAATACATATCCCTATGAGGTTTCATACACATCTGTGCGGGATAGCTGTAAATACAAATATTTTTTACAGAGAGGAAAACGAGAAGAAAGAAAATGTTGCATAGATTTATCTAGAACAAATATATTTAATATTATTCTAAAACAATAACTTTCAATTCCTTTCATTTAGCTGTTTGAAATGTAGGTTATTTTTCATATGCTGATTGCTTTTGTACATATACTCATTCAATATACACATTTCTAGTGTTTATCTTTATTTTTTGTTTAAAATATAACTTCAACAAAATGATTATCAATACTGACTTGTTTGAATTTGCAAAAATCTGAAACTTAAAAGGCCATGTGCTGTATTTTAGAAGGTATTTTATATGATTTTGGCATATTTGCCTTCGGCGGCTAACAATTCAGAAAAATACATTTGAACTTCATATTGCTGGTCCATCCAATTTCATTAATTACATTTATTTTGGCTCCAAACCTATAAATTTTAATAATATCGATCTCCAGTTTTTAAAAATTTTAAAATCTCTCAACAATGTATTGTATGGTTCTTCCTTAATAGATTGGATGAATGTTATCATCGGCACAGGTCTTGTGCATCTATATATTGTTTTAAAATTATGCTAAAAGTAAAAATTGTCAAAGAGATTATTAACCAAGGCGTAACTTCTTTAATCTAAAAGATACCTTGTATAGTTGAAGACGATGTCCATTTACAGCGTTGGACGTAGAATAGATATTATTAGTGTCTGCGAACGGTTACCTTTTCAGCGATGCATTCAGAATGCCCGGCACTGTTGGCAATTACAAATTTAAAAACAACTCCCCTACAAAAGACGACCCTTTTTACCGCATAAGTAATTATCGGTCTCTATTTTTTTTCTAATTTTTTATAATTTAATATTTTAATTACTTAATTTTTTCACGTAAATGAACACTTTCTTCAATCATAAATACAGTCAAAATTTCGAAAAAGTAACTTGTTAAATCCGGTTTTACTTATTACATGGTTCTTACGTAAACTACATCCAAAATTTCAGCTTTATAGGATTGTGAATGTCGCAGCTTCCCCAACGGGGCAGTCTATTTCGGAATTGTTGCTTACACATTATTACCAAATTTCAATTTAATTTCAATGTACTATAAGTACTATAAGGGATTTTATCGACAAGTCTATATTCCAAAATTTGTATTCATGGAACACGAAATGTGTCTCAAAATTTTACACGCACGGAATAACCGAGATTACTCATCTCTCTTTAATGTACCTGTGGCCGATATCGACACATTTTCACACTTTCTTAACGAAGTTATTTTGACAAGGACAAATCGGAGCATCCGCTTAACAGTAGCCAATTTTAATGACCTACTTTGAGGACATTTCAAAAATTTAATATTGCAAAACTCTACTATTTTTCTCAACGAGAATTAAGTCTTAACTGGACCGGTTAGATGGGGCTGAATGATTAAGAAACTCCATAAAATAAGGGATTATCGATGATAACAAGAATGTCAATATCAGATCGCAACCATTATCGGCAATATCGACGTGAAATAAAGAATAAAAATGATAAATTAATAATTTAGATGCAAAAAGAACAAAAAACCTCGTTATATCGCGTCAGGCTGCCCGCGACATTAGAAAAACATCAAAACAGGTTGGGTCGGAGCATTAAAATTGATTTAGCGAGTTCGACAATTCTTCTACAACCTGTAAACAGGATAAGCAACGTTGAAAAAAAAAACTCAAAGTTATCTCGAAGAAAGACCATTAATAATTGGTTCTATAAGCGAACTCGACCAAGCAGGTTTTGTTTTTATAACGAAGCAGTTAGACGTCGGTAAGCTGATGGATAATTCGTCGGTTTGGTTTATTTGTATAAAATATATTAACGTTTTTTTCGTTTTCTGGTGTTTCCCACACAGTTTCGAAGATAATTTCTAATTTACTCTTATTAATTATAGAAATAAAGTTATTTTTTGCCCCGTTGAGAATTTCATGTTAACTTTTGTGTAATTAAATAAATAAATGGAGTCAGAATTTGGGTTCGTTGTTATTTTCTCATTCTTTTGGAATCTCTGCATATTTTTAGCTCTAGAGTTCGGAAATCTTTCAGGAAACAAAAAATCGAAATTTTTAAAACACGTTGTAGTCACGTGGCGGAACGAGTGACTTCAAAAAGTGTTGCATACTATACTTTTTCTACTACCGTTAGTTTTTGGGTACATTTTAGCAAAACAACACCAATACATTCACTGACATGACCGTTAGAATTGACAAGCGTCAAAATTCAAAGCGTGGCAAATATTTCCGAAAACGTCCGATTGCTCCCAAATCCCTACGGTACAATCCCGGAAATGTCCGAAGCGGCTCGGATACGTGGGAAACGAAACTGACGTGGTAAAGTGACACGTTCCAGAATTGCTCTTTATAAAATGCATTGCTGATTTATTCGGAGATGAGGTACTCAATTGAGATTCCTCTGCGTTCGCCATCTTAATCAGCAAGAAACATATTACTACTTTGCTAGTTATAAATAATAATATAATAAGATCTCTATACAAAATTGCCCATAACAGCACGCTTTATTTTTATGTCACATTGTTTATATGGGCTTTTTTTATTATTAAGTAATTAGAATTATTTTAGGAATTTTATTTAGGGGAGAAATTAATGAAACTTTTATTAATAATAATTTATTTTCGGTCCGGTAAGTTATGAAAATGCTGGTTTTGACTATAATCTGCTCGAAATCAAGAGCGAAAACCAATTATTTGTCCCAAAAAAAGGAGTTTTAAGCACATATCTGCTTTTCTAAGGTAGATTTGGGTGCACTAAGAGGCGAAAAGGCACATTCTGACAGGGATCTTTTCGAAATTGGCAACTATTTGACTCAGAAGGGGGTATAAAAATATAAAAATATAGACTATACCTTATATATATACTATGTATTAGTCCGTTTAGTATCTGATATATGTTCAAATGCTATAATTATTTCATAACTAATGCAGTAACACAATAAACATAATTATATTACAATATATACAAAATAAAGTATAATACATATGACAATTCTATGACATGGCAGTATTGACGTTCATAACAACTGAAAATATTTACGTTAAAAAAAATAGTTTTGGATTATAGAAGGAATATTTTCGTTAAAGATGCGTTTTGAGTTTCATAGGACACATCTGTATTTGTGTTATAATTATTTAATAACCAACAACTAATGCAATAACACAATAATACATAATTATATAACAATATATATAAAATAAAGTATAATACATTTGACAATTCTATGACATGGCAGTATTGACGTTCATAATAACTGAAAGTTTTTACGTAAAAAAAAAATTAGTTTTCAGTTTTATAGGACACATCTGTATTTGTCCAGAAAAACTGGATTTTATTCTGGTTTTCAGTTTACTTATTTAAAGATTAGCTTATAGATTTGGTGGATGAGACAATATAACAAAATTACCTCTTATGGCATTATAAACGACGATTAAATTACAATTCCAACTAAAAACATAACGTAGTTTTGGTTAACATGTTCGGGGTTGATAATAATATTGATAATATTTACGCGACCGATTGCAAAATGATAAACTCCCAAACAGCCGGATCAAAACTCACGTACGCACATGCCCTCCCCCTCCCGCACGCACCTTATGCACATATCTGGCAACCTTGCACGTCCGACTTTGAAAGGTCGCCCCAAGGCATTGGCTGTCGTCTTCGTATCGCGTTTTCTACGTACCGGCGATAGGCAAAAAGCGACCTGCTACCGAGCCGACGACACGAGGACGTTATACCTGGAGCACCGGCTCGAGGAGGAGTACCCCACCTCCGGACTCGACTACCGATTCATTTCAGTCCGTTCTAGCCGGCAACGTGGTGGAGTGTGCCGCGATATCGACGTGAAGGTGTTCGGAAACGATTTCTGGTATCCACATTTCTTCATTTTTATTCCGGTTATCGCGGAGACCCTACATTTCCGTCGTTTTTGGGCTGTGAAACGCAAAATGTGACTCACTGGAACGATTCTATTGAATGTGATTAGCTATTAGTTGGCAACTATTTGTTGCTACTGGATTAGTTTTTTTTTTTGCATTTGAGGTGAGTGGTAATTCGTGGTATGATTTTTTTTATGGCTGGGTTCGAGAGCGACACACTTTCTACGGAAGTGTGATGATGTTATAGGCGCGATCTCTGTACTCACTCATAATGTCATTACGCCGTCATCACGAACCATATATTTTTCGCCCACAATACCAACCCATTACATGTATAGCAACATCTACATCTAGTTATTTGTCCTTTTCTAGTGGAAATGCCTATTTTACATATCGAATGATTTCCACGGTATTGCGTAACAGTATCAGCAATTACTGGTTAGACCATAACCGAAAGATTAGTATCCACACTATCATCTTGGAGACCGCAAGCAATTTCGTAGTTTTTACTGCAAGTTGTCGTTCCACTTCGCAGTGGCACGAAATCGTTCTACGAAGTTTCCGCGTTTGGGAAACGCTTGGTCAAATATTCGGATTCCATTTTCTTTTTCAGCCAAGAAAATCAAAAATTGTTTGGGTTCAATTATTATGCTCAATGAAGTGGCGCACAAAAATTGCGCTACGGAGGAAAGGTTATTATTTGTCAGAACTTAAATTAAATTAATATAAATTTAATACCGGCAAAAGGTTTTTTGAAGTTTCTAGTATGGATTAGTTTAGTTTATTTGTAGAGGCAAAAGCAAAAGCACCGGATTTTCACCGGTTGGTATTCGTTTTCTAATAGGTATTTTTGCCGATAACTTATATTTTCAAGGTCGCTGTGGTTATAGAAATCACAAGCTAATGTTTTATACATTTAGAAATTCTTCGTAAACTCGTGTAATATTAATTAATTTTATCATTAAGGCTGGCTTAAAATATCCAATGATTGAACCTCTTTATGCAGGTGTCGTATTTCTTTCTGTCCGTTGTAAGGTTTTTATCGGGATTTCAACTTTATTAGATTATCAAGGAGCTATTGAGGTTAACGCAAAATTACGGTTGGTCGGTAATCAGTTTATTATGTTACAGCGGGTCAGTTTATGGTTATTATGGGACTTTAGGGCTATATAAATTAAATAACTGGGAGTGCAGCTTTAAAAGGTATTCGCAATAGTATATACTATGCAACCACTTCGATAAACACCATTTTAGTCACGAGTTTGTCTAATTTTTGTCTAATAGTTTTGGTTTTATAATGGCAACGTTTCGATTACCTATTTTATAAAACCTGAGAACATACTCTTGTAACACCTCTATAGCACTTAACCGGAGAATTTTGTAATGGTAAGTAATGGTAAGCAAATTTTAGTCCCTTTTTCCCTCCGGTTAAGTTTTAAGTAATAAATAATTTTTATAACGGCATAATTTCTTATAAATGCCATTATAAAATTCGCGACCTATATTTATAAATACCAAACGCCTTTTTTCTGTAGAATTTGTTTAAGATATATTTTATTATTAGATTGGGGATTAGAAAAACTTTTAACTTTTTTTTAAACTTTTTTACTTTTTTTAATTACTCACTTAACTGGTCTACTCATTTAGATATTAAAACAAAGCCACTGTTTGAAATTAAACCCTTAAATTTGGCGTTGAAACTTGCTGCGTTAAGATATCTACGAAGATGAAAAACATTTATTAAATTTTGAGTTGGTTTTGGTTTAGGGTTTATAGCGAGAACATTTCTAAAATTTGTTATAATGTTCTTGAACGGTAGCTTTGAAGAGACGACTATTTAAAAAAATCTAATTTAAAAAATCCAAAAGCTTTTTTTTTTCAGTAATACAAACAACAATGCAAATTATGAAAAGCGTATGAAATTTATTTGAAATATTTTAATTTAACAGAAATACGTGATTGCGTTAACTGAAAAAAAAAAAGTTTGTTATTTGGCATTTGTTTTGAATTGAAATCGAAACTATTTACGCAACGCTCGCGCACTGCAGCTGATTTCCGTTTAACGCCATTTAAATTTTTATGTAATCCGTTTCAATTTCCTTGCGGTTTACTTCCTGTTTTCGTTTGGTCCAACGGAGCGATAATCGTTTTAATGTCGACGACTGTACTGCAAATTGGATCCCTAGTTCCCCGATGTTGAATTCCAAAATTTAAAAAAATAATATCCGCTTTGCGTTTTACAGTTTCTTCCATGTTCTCGCGAGTATATTTCGATTAATGTGCGCCACGTTGATCAGTTTTTACGTTCGCTCTCGACTTCAATCGAAACATCAAATTGCTACATATTTAATCATATTTTTGCACTTTTGTGCCTAGCCAAGCGTCACAATCGATTAGATTGGAGATAATTTAATAAATCGCTTAAATCTTGTTTAGCGTGTGATTGATAGGTACAAAAATAGTATAAATAGGCATGAGTAAATGATTATTTCAGTAATTTACTGCTACAGGTTTTAGAAACACATAAAAATGGTTATTTAATAGTCCCACTTTATTTAATCAACTGCTTAAACCTGACATTGAAAGCGAAAGCAGCTCCCAATATTTACACAAATATTTCCTCCCTCGTTCCCTCTTGTCCTGACCTTTACCTGAATGTGTGTATGTCTGTATATCTTTTAAATTTTTATAAAATTATTTTTAAAACTAAAAATTTCGTTTTTGGTCCATTTAATTAGTTTTATTTTTTTATTATATTTAGTAGAGTCCTTAAAAAAGTATTTTTAGATTGTTTAATTAATCGGAGGTGGATTAAGCTGTACGTCCAAATGAATTACTTTTTAACACCCTCTATTATAAAGGACAAAAAAACTTTAAGTATTATGCATTTATATACTGTTTTTTTGTAATAACTATTTTTTAATAAGATAAAGGTAATAGGATTTTCGAATATTAAAAAAAAAGATAATTTGGTTTGATGAAATCCCAAAGGCTTATTACTTTTGTTCAAAATTGGTAGTTGCTGGTTGCGTTTAGATTTGAATTATTAAATTAAATTAAATTTATTTTATAATCTATATTTTATTTCTTTTATAATCTCATAATCTCAATCTGGCGTCGTAGTTAAAAAAGCAAAATTTTCCAGTGGAACAAATTCTGAATTAATTGTCCTTTTGCTATTTTAATCCTTTACAAATTAATCATTCTTTATCAATTAAAATATTTTTCAAATCAATTCAATTACAATTAAAATAATTCAGTACCAGCGTGGAGAATTCCAGGAGGCTTAAGAGATCCTTTTATCCTTCTTGAAAGTTTGCTCTCGTCTGTGCCTCCCAGCCCGAATAGATAAGATGGCGGTTTTAGTCAAACAGTCGTAAAAGTAAGTGACGTTCTAATGTAAACGAAAAATTTCTCTCAAGTCAATATCTTAATGCATTAAGCAAGAAGTGGGAGAAAAACTGAATAAGTAATTGTGCACTGTCCGTTGTAGATTATTAAGCATCTGTTATGTAAGCCGATGATAAGACCAGTTACACTTTCTCCTTTAGTTTAAATAATGAGCGATATTATTACTTCTAATTTTTCCGATTACCTTACCACACGTGATTTACGATACTCGCATTGCTTCTAATCACACAGTAAGCTGAGAAAATCGGACTACATAACAAATGTTCATTAATTTCCAATAAATTCTATTATTCCATTATCATGTTTAAATTACTTCAAATTGTAAGCCTATTACTTAGTTTTAAAGCTCGGCTTAATGATTATTATTTAAAAACATATGTGCTCCAAAAACGAAATGAGACAAAAATTTTAATGTAAGTTTATTGTTTGTACTAGGCATGTTTCAATATTTTTGTGCACATGCACATTAAAAAAATATAAATTTTTCATCAAAAATAAAATGTTTCACGCTTTAAATTCCACTGTATCCTTTGAAACACTGTTTTGCAGTTTGTTTGTAGGCAGCAGTTTTATTTTTTGTAGAATAGTGTCGGTACACCGCAACCAATTGGTCAATTATCCAAATTACTTTGCATTTCAATTGCGGATTTCTTTGTTTCGTAAGCGAATCAAGCTCAGCTGGCCAAAAACCAATGGCAATACGCAAGTGTTTTTTTTTAAATTTGCTCAGGATCTTTTTCTGTGGTTCTGTGGTAACCGAAATTAGTGATATTTACGATTAAATTAGACGCAACCGTATTGTTTGTTTTAAAGAAAAAGATCGGAGTATATGGAGCGTGTACGATGTTAAGAGTTTTTACGTTTTTTCAGTTAACTTAGCCGCAGCGTAAACGAACAAGCCTATCAGGGTTCCTCGCTTATCGAATAGTGTTTTTTGGACTGTAGGAGAATTTCACCAAACCGGAGCATTTTATCGTGCAGTATTATGAACTTGATCGTTTCCCAGTTTCGCTCCACGAATTCTTAATTAAACGTCATTTAAATAAATCAATTGCAACATGAAATCGCAGAAATGCAAATGGTAGTTGGCGAAGTGAAATTCGTAGTTTTATTAGGCAAAATGTTACAATTTCGAATATTAAGCAACCAAATTGGCTCGCGCAAAGGTCGGAACATTTTAATTAAATTTGGAATTAAATTAACAAAGTATTTGCACTAAAGATATGTGAAATATTTGTAGTGTAGCAATTCACATGGAAGTTTGCTATTAAAACAAAAATAAATGAAAAGTATGGGGAAAATGTTGGCGCACATTCGAAAGTTAATGAAATATTAAGTTCGACGGTAAATCGAAAAGTCGTGACAATTATGTTGTGGAAAGAAGTTCGTGATGAAGTAATAAAGGTGAATAATAATAAATATAGAAAATATGACCAAAAATGTATGCGAAAGACTACCTTTACCACTCAATTATATAGAAACATTCCCGTTCTTAGTTTTTAACTTAATTGCTAGGGTGAGGAAAGCTCTATATATATATATATATATATATATATATATATATATATATATATATATATATATATATATATATATATATATATATATATATGTTGGCGCATGCCAACACAAATTAAAACTAATTTATAGTGTCATCTATCAAACTTGCTTCATAATGGTTTTTGAATACTCAAAAGTATTTCCAATTATCATTCTTAGTATGTTTGTTTACAATGCAACCACAAACTTAAG